GTGTGGTGTACACTTTGTAATAATTCTTTAGTATATCACTTGTGTGATGTAGAATGTTAACACTGTTATATTCTTTTTTAGTATAATATGTGTGTGTGTAGAAGTGAATCATTTATTGCTTGCAAACCAATGATGGTAAGATGATGTCATGGGGTAGGACTGGATAAGTCTGACTTCTTCCTACTCCATTCAAGCATGTACTAGGTATAAGCAAATTGATATTGGATTAGCATTTGTTGGATATGTGTAAAATTATGTGTGTTGACATAACTGTCTTTTCATGCTTGAAAGAAAGAATAAATCAAATAAAATCAAATCAAGTGTCGAGTAATAACTGATGCACACACTCATCCTTGTTTTTGTAACATAGCAGATCTTTACAATCACTTACATTCATGCACAGAACAAGGGCTGTATATTTTGTCCCTTAATTCTTACAGTGCAGTCACATACTGGGTGAAAACATCTGGGCCAGTTTGGAGAGTAGGAAAATCTACAGTGACCTCTTCCCATGTACATATAGGCATGTCAATATTGTATTAAGACTAACTTGAAAAGTCCCAAACCTATTCCTTAAACCAAGTTGTCTCCATAAATTCAACAATTTACTGTGTGGGGACCAGCATGTATTACCATCAATCTCAGCAAGTAAGCTGCATAAGCCAAATCACTTTGTCAACATTTTTGCCTGGTTTGGCCTTTCAAGCTACATAAATACTGCTTTAACCATCTGATTGGTGCAGTTTGTTGGTGCCTGGTGTAGCCTGAGAGGATGTCCTGCAGACACCACCAATGGCTGAAAAAACTACCTGCACCTGTGGCATATCATGGGGGGGGGGGTTATAAAAAATCTTTTGATTTGTTGATGACAATGAGTAATTATCATTTTCTTCCAGAACATGCTAGAAATGAACATCAGAGTAATGTAGTAAAAATAATCGCATGCCTCAGTAAAGACAGAACCCTGATCTATCATTTTGTAACAGGTCGGGTAAGGTTTCAGGTCCAACTAATTCTAATCAGTGTTACTGTATTAATAATAGGTGTAAATTGTTGTATTAACATTTAATCCAATTTCAGTCCACATCCAGCTTCATCATGTGTTAAATGTAGTGTAAAAACAGCAAATATCTGCATATTTTAATGTTTCAAGAGCCCTTGACTTTAGTGTGTCTCTCCTAAAACATAGACCCTGGCACACTTACAACCTTGAACATGGTAAACTTTTTAAAATCACACACTCAATCAACACATATTGATCAACAGATTCTTTTAATAAATAACATATTCATGAAAACCAGAAACAGACCAAAATGATTTGTTTACAGCGGAATAATGTATGTTCATCTTTTTATCATTGTAGAACCGGACGAACCAGTGAAGTAGGGAGCAGCACGGTATACAAAGCCAAATGATGCAATGCAATTAGCAGAGGAGTTGATTCAAACAGCAACAAGTCCAGACTACAAGGTGATTGGTTGAACAGAGGGGGTTGGAGGGATGAGCAGATCAAAGGGTCATAACTGTAGTGTCCTAGTCCATAAACCCTCCATACCTCTTCTGTAGCTCGCTGCCATCCTCCCAGGCCCGTTTCAATACCCCCCCACCCTTGCTGCTGTCCACTAGCCACTCAGGCCTGCCAACACGCCTCATGAACCCACCATAGCGCTTCTTGAGCCCACGGCCTAAAACCGCCTCCAGCATGTTGCTGTGCTCCACCCCTCCTTCAGCCCGACGCATAAAGCCTCCGTACCTCTTTATAACCTCACCTCCCTGATCATCCCCCTCACCACCGCTCTCGGCAGCTGAATTAAGGATCTTCAGGATCTCCAGGCGAACATTTTCTTCCTCATCCTGGTTTCCAGGATCCTCTAGTGCTTCCTCTGGAGAGGAGGAGCGGCGAGACATGAAACCACCATAGCGCTTCATGAAGCCACCGTACTTCTTGGCTAGCTGGTGCTCTGGTGATGTTGCTTCCTCATCATCAGCCCTCGTGGTGCCAGCTGCCTCCTGTCCCTGACCGGGGTCAGCATCTAGACGAATGTGTTTTTTTTCCTCCAGTAAGAAGTCCCGGCACTGGCGGAGCTTCTGGCTGTCCAGTCCACCATCGCACTCAAGTGAGCATGCCTGGAAATATCAAAATTATTATTATTCCAGTTAGTAATCGCAGTGTCATGTTTTTATTGAAACATCGGTACCTGAATAACTGTGGTTTTATCAGGAAAAGAATGTTTCCTTTTATTTTGCTGATTAATAAAAAATGTGGATCATTCAGAAATTTACCTGATGTGAGAATTGAGGGGCTATGTAAAGGCTGGGAAAGGGCAGATGTTTAAGCTTTTCACAAGAAACCAAAACAACTCTTCAGTATATCCTGGCTAACAGTCCCCAGTGATGGAACCACCATGGTTACAAACTCCTGATGCCTACAGCGACTATGGTGACTCACCACAGTCAGATCAGTGTTTCATGTTCACTGGTAAGGACTCATCTTTACATGACTAAATTGTCTATCTTTGTGGTTTTTGACAGCATGACATGCTGAATATTTCTTGATGAATTATTCTTCTACCCTGTCAGGGACCACAAGTTTTCAGATTGGTTTCTATAGAGGCCCCATAGTACAAAACCTGGCAAAGTCTGTGACTATCTTGCATTAAATGTGGACATTTAACAAGCAAAAAGGTCTACTGAAGAGAGAACATTCAGCTGCTTTATGGGAGACGTACAGTGGGAACTGGGTTTTTGGAGTCTTGACTCAAAGTCTGAATTTGTTGCTTCAATTTCAACCATTCTTTTTGAAAATCTGTCTCTTATAAATTCCCCAGTTTTATGGAAATGCAATACCAATTTCAGGAAAACACCTCCAAAACTCATTGTTGTTCAAAGATAGTATGACTGGGTATTGTTATAGTTAATAGTTGTAATAAGTTAGATCACTGATTAATCTTGTCCCTTTTTAATGTTTTTAAGCAAAAATTCACACTAAATTCTGGTTCCAGCCTCACAAGTTTGGACTATTAACTAGACAAAATAAGCACTGTGAAAATCTCACCTTGGGCTTTAGGAAACTGTATTTGTTCATTTGGATTATTTCATAGACAAATTCATTCTGAAATGCCACAAATATTTCTACATGTTTTATTTGAGATATTAATAAAGGAGAAGTAAATGAGGCTGTATAAAAAAAATGCTAATGCATAGCCAAATATTTGTGCTTGTCCTCTGTTACAATTATTGGACAGGTAACACCTTCCTGCTGTTTTGGGGATGTTAGTGAAATGTTAGCTATAAAATTAGTTTATATTAATTGTGTGCACTAGTCCCACGAACATGTCAACTGGATCATGAAAAAAATTAACTCTGTCTGTTGTCTGTGTTAAAATTTTATCTTGTTTTCACTGACAAATGGGGATAAAAAAAGTGGTTACGGATTTTCAATCATGGCTCTGTGGTCTAATCCATCCATCACTGTTGTTACATTTTTCAGTCGTAGTCATATTAAACCATGACAATAAGGCTTGATGAATTGATGAATATGCACAGCCAGAGGAGGCCATGTCATCCATCCTATGTGCACTACCCTCCAGCACCCTGGTAAAATAGAGAACAACAGAAAAAGACTGCACAGAAGAAAAAAACTGTTGACATGAAAGAGATTACAACAGTCAACAGATGGTTTGAGAGAACACAACAGCCCATTTTATCTACAACATCCCTCACTTAGTGCCTTAACAACTTAGAAAAACTGAGTTTCTCCCTTTAAACCATCTGCCTCAGCGTGTTCCTTACCCACTGACATTGTATCACATAGATCTAAGGGGAGCCTCCTCTATAAAAACTGCGTGTCCCTACCCACCACCCACTTATCCCTGTCAATCCTTTAACTAATCCTTTAAATATATGAGTCCATAAAACCTTAGTGGCAGTAGTACAATGGGGACTAAAGACATCTGCTGGGCCCAGGGGGGCTGCATATTGCTGAGATAACCTGCTTCTAACCTAATGTGTCATTGGATTTCACTTTTTTGAGACATAAGAGATTCCTATTTGATGGCACAGAGAAGGGATTCTTGCTGCGCTTTCAGTGCCGCTGGCTGATGACAGAATTAATGAACAGAAAAATTGGCAACTGAGGGGCTTGGAGGTTGGAGGGCAGCTGCACCCTCTGGTGGTCATAATGGGAAGTATACAACAAGTAGCAATTGTGTTAAGAGAGAAAAGGCAACAAAGACCAAATGTGAACAGAAAATATTTTGTTTATATTTCTATTCATACTACAGTTTGTCTGGTTCTTTATACTGCCCTTTCCTTCCTCCTGGCAATTACTGATCTCTAAGTGGTGTTGAAACATTTTTAAAAGTATTAGCCTGAATCCTTTACACAGGTTCTCTGTGTCAGAGAATATGAAGGAATTAACAGCTGCTCAACTCTTAATATATTTTTAGAAGATAGAAACCCTCTCCACTGTTAAAGTTACAGACTAATATAGAGCAGGTCTATCTGAACTGGAGATCGAGTAAGAGTATGTTGTGAGTAGTAGGAAGAAATAATTTCTTTTGAAATCTCATGAAATTAATCAACTTCAGTTGAGCAAAGATGTTGATATCACAGAGAAGTCAAAAGAGAACATTCTTCTATGCTCAGTGTTAATCCAGTCACACACCAAATTGAAATTCACACAGAAGTCACGAAACCCACAGCATGTGAAACCTGCAAGATGAAAAGTAGATCTGCATATCACACACACACACACACACACACACACACACAACACATTTCACTAAATTAATTTAATTTTGAGTGAAATGTACTGCATGTGGTTAGGTTTTTTTAAAATTTGAAATATACAGAACAATATTAAGGTGATTACTATAGCCTAAAAAAGTGAGGGGCAGAAAAAACTGATTAGGTACCCTGTTGAGTACTGGCTTGAAGCCAACAGAACAATATGATCATGATTACAGTCATCCACAGACTGAGGGAGGATGGATTCAAATGGGAAAAGAAGATAAAGGAAAGTAAATCCATCAGATAAATACCTATAAATGAAAGGAGAACAGTGAAATACTGTTGTGTGTGAAGTGTGTTTGTGTGTGTGTGTGGGGGGGGTGGGGTGGGGGTGGGGGGTATTAATAAAAACAGACCGAGATCCAGGAAAGACACCAATAAGAAAACAAAGAATGAGAGGAGTGGGGCTCAAAAGAGAAACTGAAGGTGGTGTGTATATATAAAAGGAGAGGAGAGGAAAGGAACGAAGAAAGTTTCAGGAAAATAAATACCTAAAGCATATTAAATGGCACTTTCAAAATGACTTTACGTGTAATTTGCTTTATCTATGATAATGGTTGGCATTAATATGGAGCTGCCCAGTGATCTGTCAGTCACTGGATATATTATAGCTGAGAAAATTCTGATAATCACTGGGAGAATGAGAAACCAGATGGCTGTGTCCATAACCGGGTTAGTCTGTAGAACTGAGTTTGTCTAACAAACATTTACCATAGGCGAGATACCAGTTTCATTTATAAGTCTGTCTCTTAGTGCATTAGAAATCTAGTTAACTAATCCAATATAGTGACGTTACCAGGGAGGAGAAACCAGACTGCTGTCCCAGCAGACGGTACACACACAGTGCGCACTCCTTCCCGCAGTCCATTCCAACCACCATCGACACGCACGCGCCCAGAAGCAGCATCCACACGCAGCTGCTGTGTGCGGGGGCAGCCATGAACTAAGGACGGAACATTACAGAAACAGGCAAAGGTTAAAACATTATCATAATGGTATCTCATCGAACAAAGTAAAATATGAAATGGGACGATCACTTTAAATTAAAAAAAGATTTAAAATAAATGATGCTTTTTACAGGTGAGAACGTATCAACAGAGATGTAGTCAGTCATGTAGAAGTTTCTGCTACTACTGCTGCCACTAGTACTATACTACTACATCACTACTACTAATTCTGCTACTACTTTCCCACTACTACAGCCAATAACAGCCTACAGCATACTAAACTGTAATACAAGACATTTGTAAACATGGCTTTTAAGTTCCTTAATGCGCAGTCTATAGGCTACGTTACGATGTTTCCCTCACTACACTTTTCCCTGGATGTAGCAGCATGGTAGTAACTGTATTAGTGCAGCAGTACAGGTTGTTTCTGCGAATTAAAACGTTTTCTTACCTTTGCGTTATTTTAAATGATATCTAAGCAGTTCTGTGATTTCCTCGCCCGCGCGTGCCCTCGGGTGCTGACGGACTGGGACACCTGAGTAGCGCGAGCCTGTGCACCTGTTATATGTGCACGCGGTGGGCAGAGCGGTCACGTTTCAGCCAATCAGCAAACACACAGGACGCTTTATAACTAGCCTATATGCGCTTTTATCCCGTTTTCTGTGACAGCAAAGTACCGCGCACAGCGTCTCGCCGCCTCGTGTACAGTCCGTTCAAAGCGCAGTCCGTTCAAACCGCGGGGGGCGGAGCCGGTGGCTCCGCGGCTTGTTTAAGTAGTTTGTATGGTTTACGTCACCGGGGGTGATGGGGGGGGCGGCTGAGGTGGGGTTAATAACCGTGATGATGAGACGTGACAACCTCCCCTTCTGTTTTTCACACACACACACACACAAACATATTCTGTCGCATATTGACTCTATCAAGTCATCTTTTTATTGCTCTTTAGAAGCGTTTCATGTAGATAATAAATGGCAATATACCATGTAGGTTCTGTGTGGAAATAATATTTGATGTTAGCATTCATGTCTCTATGTGTGCCTGTGTGTGTGTGTGTGTCATGCAGTCTGAGTGAGAAATGTCTTTTAACTCTAACATAAATGAACACATACAAGCTTTCTCTTGTCCCTGGATCAGAAGAACCAGTTCTGCACTGTCTTCAGCTGTTATGCTATAGTGGCCTACATAGAGTGTTCCTTTGCTAAATGTGACATGCTACAGCCAATACTTTCCTGACCAGAGTCATAAAGCTTTAATTAATAAGATCCTTTGTTTGATGTCTTATCAGAGGTGGGAAAGTCATAAAACCTGCAGTAAAAACAGGAGTAAATCTCTTGTGGGGGATTTTTATATGTTTGTCACATGATTAAGAGGTTAAGAGGAATGACAGGCTAATAGAAAATATATTTTAGATGTCAAAGGTTTAAGAAATAAATTATTAAATTCTGGAATTTAATAATTGCGTTATCAGTATGGGGTTGGGGTGGGGGCAGACACTGTCTGTGTATGAGAGAGAGAAGGTCTAATGCTTTGCCTGATGTTCTACAAAATGATATTTAATGGAGAAATGGTTTTTGGTTTTTTAGAATTAATGTTGCTTGCTAATGCCACTAATGTAAATGGTAACATCACTGAAGCTGAGTGAGTTCAGATTCTTTGTAGTGGTGAGGCTGTGTGAGGTAGCCCTAATTATCCACAGCCTGTGCGTTCAGTTATCTACTCGGCATCTCTAAATATCATTATCAGTTGAAGTGTGGGCTGTATTTAGAATATTTACATCTTGTCCGTGCAGATTCTCAGTCATCCATGTCATAGTAAGCTGAAAAAATGTGGGAAAAAAATCAGCTGGACTTGGTTTTAGGTCAAAGACGTTTCACCTCTCATCCAAAAGGCTTCATCAGTTCTGCCTGACTGGCGTTGATCTGGAGATATTTATCCCCATCGGTGGTGTTTCAGTCCTTTGATGGCCAACAATGTCCCCTAACGGCTGAGTCGTTATAGCCCAGTAAGCCCAGAACTATGTTTTATAAATGAGCATGGTAGTTTTGAGGAAAGCATAGATGGATATAACAGCTTTGGTTCCCATTTGGACAGGGCTGTGTGATGGCAAGGTAAAGGATAATTATGGCATGTCCTAAATAGAGCTTATACTTACTGTATGCCTCTACAACCTCCTCAAAGCTACCTAACTCTATGTGTGTGTGTGAGAGAGAGATGATAGATAATGTTATTTGAATTTGTATCATCTTTGAATTAGTATCATCCTAAATGTGTCAACTACATTTTAAAATGCAGCGTTTTCTACCTAAATTGTGTTTCATTGCCTTTCCTCAGCCCCATCCCTCGGTTGTATGGATGAGTCAGGAGCCACAGTTAATTGTGAAACCCCACACTGTATACCAGTGTCCCTTTTGCTGGAACCAGGGGGATTATCACATCCTCACTCCCCATTTGCAGTTTCGCACTGGCAGAGCAGTAAAATATGCAGGTAATTGTGCTAAGAAAACATATGTGTTTCATGCAAAACCTAAAATGTAGCTTTCCGGCAGCTTGATGCAGATGGCTTGGCTGTTGTTTGATTTGATGATGACCAGCTGGAAAGGCTCTACAAAATCTTGTCAAAGTTGTTCACACCACCCCTCTACACAGAGCCATACAAGACAGGATGAACTATATTCTGGATGTCCTGCTACCAGAGGTATTTCATTCTTATGGAGACAACATTTTGTCTTAAAATTTGTCAATGATAGACATGTTTGTGTCCCTTTACACTCAAATGCATATTTTATGATTATCCCAATTTAAAATCATGAGTCTTACTTTTTACCCTTTATGTGCGCTTTGCTCAAGATACTTTTGTACTTAAAGAGAATTTTGATTGCAGGTATATTAACTGTAATAGAGTCGGCCATATTGAAACTGTGGAACTGATACTTTTACTTAAGTAAAAGATCAGGGTATGTCTTATCTCTGTATGCAAGGAAATAGAATCTAAATAAATTGCCTCTAAGTTGGGTGTCAATACCATCATTTTTGGGCTCCTACGCTTTTTGTTCTTCTACATTACACTGTTCATTCATCATCACATTAATCCATCAGTACACAAGATAACTTTGTAGATGGATGAGTCAGACACAACAACAAACAACAGATAAAACCTAGATTAATTGTGTCACGTTCAGTAAAGGCAGCTCTTCGTGAACTAACAGCAAAGTGCAGTAACATTAGGCTGCGGTACTTAATGGTACAGTTAATGTTAGGCATGTTAACCATGCTGACTTTCATAAAAATGATATTGTCTACCGAAAATTAACCTTGTCTCTTATCATTTTTTGAAATACTATCTTCTGAGGGTTTCACTTTGACATTTAAAAGAAGAACATTTTTTTCTTGCTATATCAAGTTATTTTTTTCTCCTTATAATAAGATAATTTGTGCTTATAACAAGAACATTTTCTAATGCAAAACTCAAAACCTTTGGAGCAAAAGAACTGAGAGCTTCTACTAGGGGTGGAAAGATTAACTGATATGAATCAATAAAATGATACAACAGCCAGAGATATGGTTGCTTCATTTCAAAACAAATTCATAAAAAGAGGTCTAAAATTGATATGGACATTATAACCCAGTCTTTGGCAAGTTTTATGCTTGTTTTTGCTGTGTGCTGGTTCTGTGTGTCCTTCTCCCGTGTGTGTGTGTGTGTGTCTGTATATGCTATTGTATGTGTGCAGCCAAGCACGGCAAAAGCATGCAAGTGGGAGGTTTATTCAGAGTAAGCAGTGCAAAGTGAGATGTTGGTGCTGCTGTGCTGAGAACAGAAGTCTCACAATCCTGTCTGTTGAAAAAGCAACATCACTCTGCTAGTAGCCTGCTTTGGTGATTTTATGAACAAGACAGGAGCAAACTAAATTCATGCAGCAAATGCACAAAAATTATGTTTGAAATGTAAAAATAAACTAGTTCAATCAAACACTTCCCAACCATTACATATGTATGCTTAAATTTGCATAAAGAATTCATGTTTAACACAGCAGGGGCTCCTGTAAAGCAGTCTGTATTTATTTCTAAATTATTATGATCAATTGTGACATGGTCTGTTGTGCACCGTTGTTTCATATTGTATGAAAAGCTTCTCATTCAGCAAATTAAAGCTCTGCAGCATATGAACGCAGCAGGACAGATACAGTATGTTGATAAATGTGCAGCCTAAGTTTGACTGTAGGGACAATGTTCTGAGTCTCCTACCATAGTGTCCCTTGTCATTCAGATGGCGACCGATAGTGTGAGCTGACACTGTTGCACCCTAAGATCTGCTGCACTGTGCCGTTACACATGACCATCCATCGTGTTTACCTCGATTAAATCATGAACACTGCTGCCAGGTTGCAAAAAATACTAACACCATTTCCAGAAAAGTTAGTACATTTTCTAAAATGCAGTAAAAATGAAAATCTGTGATCTGTTAATTCCTTTAAACCTTTATTTAACTGACAAAAGGTACAAAGAAAAAGATTTCTGTGTTTTTACTGGCCAACATAATTGCATTTTGTAAATATAAACAATTTTAGAATTTGATGCTTGCAGCACACAAAAAATAGTTGTGTCAGAGGCATGTTTACCACTGTGTTACATCACCTTTCCTTTTAATTACACATTTCAGTCATTTGGGAACTGAGAATACTCACTGTTTCAGTTTTGCACATGGAATATTGGCCCATTCTGGCTGGATACAAGACATCGCCTGCTCAACAGTCCGTGACCGCTGTTGTCTGCTTCTCCTCTCCATGTTGCGCCATACATTTTCAATAGGAGACAGATCTGGACTGCAGGCAGGCCAGTCAGACATGGGCATGAGAACCCTGGGCCCTACTATTTGTTTGAGATAATGAAAAGCTAATTTAGTTATGGCCGTGATGTGACTGGTGAAGCTCAGGTCTGAGTTAATTATGACACCAAGATTTCAAACTTGAGTTTTTGTCTTTATAACTTTCGTCCTTTTCTTGTTGTTGACAGAAATGTCAGTAATCTGCTGTCAGTATTTCTCCTGTTGCCATAGGTTATGACACCATTTTGGTGACACGTTGTACAACGTGATGCTACCAGAGCTCGATTAACCTCGTCCATATTCAGCTTGTAAATATATTATATAAAGTCTAAGGTCTTGTTTCAGTTGATTCTGTCCACAAAATGTGATGTCCTTTCTGTTCTGTGTTATGTTGTCATCTTTGTACTTGCGCAAGTGGACTTTGTGTGAGTTCTTCTACACACATTCAGCTCACGTTTTAGAATTTAGGCACTGTTTAACATGAACACTCATCATAACACCATTGAAGTTACAGCTAGAAATACAAAAAGCATAATATGGCCCCTTTAAGTTGTTTTCTTGGCCATACTGCACAGTTTTCTTTACAGACTTGAAGATGCATATATAATAGCTGGATTGTAGATGACCGGAGGAGCTTTAGACTTTTAGTCTGAGGAAAGTGTAGTGCTTGTCTGGAGCATACAAAGCACAGGACTTTGGCTTTGTTCACTTTACAACAACCCAAATCTAACTTTTCCCCCCTGGGAAACTCACAATGAGATCAGCTATCAAAAATTGTCTTCTAAAAGTTTAAATTAATCAGTTTCCACATCTGAACATTTGTCTATTTGTTAAATTCACAGAAACAGCGACACATTCATTTTGTAAGGGTAATAAAATGATTCAATGAGAAAT